GGAAGAATGTGGTGGAATAGAAATGTAGTTGATCCAACCTAGGTGATACAAAATTGAAGAGCGAATGACAAGTTTTTGGAAAATTTGTGGGTTCATCTGAGCATGCTGGCACATGCCTATAATTATCGCGCTCGGGAGGCTGAGGCAGGAGGATCATGTTTTGTTTCATTTTTTTGTGTATGGTACTGGGAATGAATCTAGAGACTTTACACTTAGCCATATCTGTATTCCTTTTTTATTTTGAAACGGTCTCACCAAGTTATTAAGTTGCCCATGGTAAGCTCATACTTGAAGTCCTCCTGCCTCAGCCTTCTAGAGTGCCAGGAGGATTACTGGCCTGTGCCACCACACTGGGCAGCAAGGGATTTTGACTATGAAGCCAGGCTGGACGACAGGGGAGGACTGTTTTGAAAGAAAGGAAAGAAAGAAAAAGAGGAGAGAGAGGCAGAGAGAAAAAAGAAAGAAAACCTGTGGGTTGTGACATGGAAAAAGCACATCCTCAGAGGGACTGAACCAGGTGACAGAAGCCCAAGACATAGGTAGAAAACTTGTCTTCCTATACAATTTCAAGTTTTCTCCTTTTGGCCTAGGACCCAGAACTCAGATTTCTGTCTCTGACGTGTGACAGTGGGCCTGCATCTGTAGGTTCCATCTGAACCAGGATCCTACTTACGTCTTCTATGGTACTGGGGATCGATCCATGGCCTTTGTGCTGAGCTACACCACAAAGTTTGGGGGTTTTCTGAGACAGGCTCTCAATGTGTAATCCAGGCTGGCCTCAAACTATGGCAATTCTCTTGCCTTAACCTCCAAAGTGCTAGGATTACAAGTTTGCAGTGCACCCCTGGCTTCGGCCCTTTTTATTTTGAGACAGGGTCTAGCTATTGGTAACTGCTCTGTGTGGGCTTGAACTCCATATCCTGCTGCCTTGGCCTCCCAGAGTTTGGGGATCGCAGGTGTACGCCACCAAGCCTGGCCCAGGCCCCTAATATCTATGGCTAAGCGGACTATGTGAGCAACACTCAGAATCCTATTAATAATGGATTCACAGCAAATCAAAAGTCTCTAGTGCATACTACCAGGCTTGAGCCAACTGCTGGTCTGGTCCACATTTGTACAAATGGTTGACTGAAAAATACTGATGGCAAATCAGGTGTGGTGGTGCACGCTTGTAGTCCCAGTGTTCTGCATGCTGAGGTAGGAGAATCAGGATGATGGCTGACTTTTCTCTTTTCTTTTCTTTTCTTTTTTTCTTCTCTTCTCTTCTCTTCTCCCATCCAAGTACTAACCAGGCCCGACACTGCTTAGCTTCCGAGATCAGACGAGATCAGGCGCATTCAGGGTGGTATGGCCATAGACCTCTCCTCTTCTCTTTTCTTCTCTTCTCTTTTCTTCCTTTTCTTTTCTTTTCTTTTCTTTTCTTTGTGTTTTGAGACAAGGTCTGGTTATGTAGCTCAGGCTGGCCTTGAACTCACTATGTACCCCCAGCTTGCCTCAAACTCATGATGATCCTCCTGCCTCAGCCTCCCAAGTCTTGGGATTACAAGCATGTGCCACCACACCTGGTGCAGCCTTTTTATTTATTTATTTATTTATTTATTTAAAGTGCTTTATGCCGGGGTTTTTTTTGTTTTTTTTTTTTGGTACCAGGGATCGAACTCGGGTCCTTATGCTTGCGAGGTAGGCAGTGGAACCACTGAGCTAAATCCTTGGCCCTTTTTTATTTATTTTTGAGACAGGGTCTTGGTAAATTGTCCAGACTGGCCTCAAACTCACAGTCCTCCTGCCTCAGCCTCCTGAATAATTGGGATTATGGACATGCACTGCTATGCCCAGCACCATTTATGTTTTAAAAGTCTCATACAACTTTATACTTCTGTATGTCAATATATATCCATATGTAGAAAAAGGTCTCGAAGGGCATATACGCAAAATGAAACTGTTCATTTCTGAAAGGAAAGAACTTGGGACAGATAACAACAAAAACTTTGGCCTTGTCTATTTTTTGTTTGTTTTTGAGGGGAGGGTGTGTTGGAATTGAACCCAAGGCCTTACACATTCTAGGCAAACACTCTATGATAGAGCTTCATCCTCAGCTGTAGTTTTTATTAATTAATTAATTAATTAATTAGAGGCAAGGTCTCACTATGTAGTTCAGGCTGGTCCTGAACTCATTGTGTAGCCCAGGCTGGCCTTGAACTCATAGTGATCTTCCTGCCTCAGCCTCTCAAGTGCTAGGACTATAGATGTGTGCCACCACACCTGGCAGCTGTTGCTTTTTTCAATGATTTTTATTTCTATTACATGTTTTATAAAGTAAATGCATTAAAGTACTACTATGAAATCAAAACAACTTTACCTCACAAAATTTTTTTACCTCATAGGTTTCTTGTGTCCTATCACTGAGCTACTCCCCTAACCTTTTATTTATATATTTATTTATTTATTTATATTATTTATTTATTTTTGGTACCGGGGATTGAACTTGGGTCCTTGCGCTTGCGCAGCAGGGGGCGAAACCCCTGAGCTAAATCCCCGGCCCTTTTTTTTTTTCAAAGAAAATGTTTTGCTAAGTTGGCCAGGCTGGCCTCAAACTTGTGATCCTCCCGCCTCAGGCTTCCAAGTAGCTGGGATTACAGATGTCACTGTGCCCGGAACCTGTGGGTTTTTATTGATCGACAGTGAGTCAATAGTGTGATGAAGTAGGACTGAAGAGAATCTAGGGGGCTGTGGGTTCTCTTCTAGTACAATCCACATACGAGGCAGGTGCTGGTTTAGTTTACTTAGCTAGGTTAGGCCACTTTGGTCTTGAACTTTTTACACTTTTGAATGCATGAGGGGTTTAAAAATTGCGGAACTGATCCTTGGTAATGTCCATTACATTTTTTTTTTTTTTTGGTACCAGGGATTGAACTCAGGTCCTTGCGCTTGTGCAGCAGGCGGCAAAACCACTGAGCTAAATACCCGGCCCTCCATTACATTTTTGCACTTCTGTCTGGCTTCTCCCTTTGGGATTTCCGTTAAGTCTTGGTCCTCCAGCTGAAAGACCCAGTTTAAAAGTTTACACGTAAATATAATCCACCTTATCATGCTGCTCTGCAGCCTGCCCCGCTTTTTATCTGAGGTCTGTGTGCTGTAGTCATACTTCACAGGCCACGTCACGGAGTAGTCACGGAACTGCTAGCATGGACTGGCCATGATCTCTGTCAGTGATAAAAAAGTCACAACAAGAAACCCACCAGCCGGGAGTGGGATGTACGGGGCTCCAGCAGCTCCAGACCTGCTTCTCCTGTAGGTGTACGCTGTGGTTTGGGGGCAGCCGTGAACTTTAGAGTCTGCCATCACTCAGGTCATCTTGGGTAAATTATCTTTTCTGAGCTTCATTACATTTTTATAAAAGTCATATTTTAATTTGAAATCTCATTTTTAATTATACAATTACTACATCACCATTACTTCTTGTAAAGGGGCAAAACATTACAGATGAGACGAAAGTTCTTTTTACTGCTACCTGCACTCCCACTCCCCAAACTCCGCTCTGAAAGTAACCACAATTTTTAGTTTAGTATTTATCCTTCCAGTCCTTTTCCAGAAAAATCTGGTTTTGTTCTTGGTTTTTGGTAGTACTAGGGATTGAACCCAGGGCTTTCACATGGAGGTCCATCTGTTTTATTTTTAGATAGAGTCTTGCTAAATTGCCCAGGCTGGGCTGGAATTTGGGATCCTCTTGCCTCTGCCTCCCAGAGCACTGAGATTACACCTGTGTGCCACTATGCTCAGCTCCCAGCTCCCTTTTTATTTTTTTTGACACAAGGTCTTGCTATGTAATCTGTGCAGATCTCCAGCTCCCTATGTAGCTCAGACTGGCCTTGAACTCACAATCTTCCTCCCCTAACCTCCCGAGGGCTGGTATTACAGGCATACCACCATACCCAGCTGTTTTTTGTTATTGTTGTTGTTTTGCTTTTAATCTATAAAAATAGGATAGGAACCAAATGTGATGGCACATGCCTCTAATCCCAGCACTCTGGAAAGATGAAGCTGGAGAATCGTGAGTTCAAGATCAGCCTGGGCTGCTTAGCAAGATCCCCAAATAAAGAAATAAAAGAAGGGCTGAGCATACAGCTAGTGTGAAGGCCCGTGGCTGAATCCCCAGTACAGGGAGTGTGTGTGTGTGTAGAGATAGTAATATGTAATCCACAGGAAGAGAACAGGTGAAATGCAAAGTTTTCTCTTCTTTCTGCTTCCTTTGTGTGTCAAGAGAGCTGAGACCTACTGCAGGAATATACCTCCAATAAATTCAAGTTGAAGAGAAAATCTTACCTATTTCCAGGAGTTGAATCACCTCCCTTCTACCCGATATTAGACAATATAAAACAAACTGGGTATAGTGGCATATACCTATAATCCTAGCACTTGGGAGGCTGCGGCAGGAGGAGTTCGGGGGCCAGCTGGGGATACATAATAAGACTATGTCTCAAAAAAAGAAAGAAAGAAAGAAACAAAGAAACAAACAAACAAACTTTGGATAGGGTCTGCTTGAGGATGATAGCAAAAGCCAAAGGTCCCATGTGCATGCCTGTAATCCAGCACTTGGGGCGGCTACAGCAGAAGAATTGCATGTTTGAGGCCAGCCTGGGCAACTTAGTGACTTAGCAAGATCCTGTCTCAAAATGAAAGATAAAAAAGGCTGGGGAGGGCCAGGTGTTTAACTCAGTGGTGCTGCACCTGCCTTGGAAGCACAAGGTCCTGAGTTTGATCCCCAGTACAGCAAAAAAGAAAAAAGAAAAAGGCTGGGGTATTGGGGATGTAGTTCAGTGTGAAGGCCCTGGGTTCAATCTGGGGTGGGGGAGAAAGCCAAAGACCCAGTGAGCATCCTTTTTTCTTTTGGTTTTTGAGATAGGGTCTCTTTCTGTAGTTCAGGCTGGCCTTGCCCAGCCTGGCCACAAACTCCAGGCAATACTCCTGGCTCAGCCTCCCAAGCGCTAGGACTATAGGCATGCACCACCCAGAATTCTACTTTTTATTCTGTTCCATTCAGCCAGGCAAGGCTGATTTTGTGTATTATGTCTTTTGTTCCCTGTGGATTTAATTTCAAATTGTAGCTGGGGATTTAGCTCAGTGGCACCATGCCTGCCTTACAAGCGCAAGGTCCTGATCTTGATCTCCGGTACCAAAAAAAAAAAAAAAATTTCAAATCGCAGAGAAAAAAAGAGAGCCATAGATCCTTTGTCCAGATTTTTTCTTTAAAACAGCTTTCCAGCTAAGTAGAAAAAAGACAAAATAAAGCAAGACCCTATCCCTGCAATTCTGCTCTTCTATCAATACCCGTTTTCCTACCATTAGAGAGGAAGTACAAGCTCAAGAGTTCCAAAGGCACCAGTAGTTGCTTCCCAGGTAACCTAAAGCAGGATTTTATTTCAGCATAAGAACAAATTCCATTTATCGAGCATCAGCTTTGCCAGCCATGATACAAATTTCTTTTTATAGCAGCATATTAGCCTCCTCTCTCTGCCACACAAGCCTGCAGCCACTGAGCTCCAGGACTGCTGTTAGCAGTGTCCCCGAGGCTTCACTCTCTCCCAGCATCCTTCTCTGTATGAGTTTACCAGTTGTCCTTTTTCTTCCCTTCCAGAGTCTACTGGGCCTGTTCTGCCTAGGACTTAGAAGATGAGCCCAGCTATTGGTTTGAATTCTTACTTAACTTTTTTGTTATTAACTTTGCTTATGTTGGACTTAAGGGCAAACATCTCCTGTGGTAAAAGTACACTACTATAGTAGGTACTCAATAGGTAACAACTGCTTTCACGAGGGTCGGGCTTTAAAGGTACCACAGCCCTTTGGGAGGAGTTTTTCTTCTTTAATCTTTGAAACAGTCATCTAAAGTAGACAGAGCATGTAGTATTCTTTTCAGCACAATTGGAGAAACTAAGCCCTATACTTAAGCATTATGCCTATTAATTCTTTCCTTCTATAGAGTAGATGTTCTTTAAATGTTATTTTGTCCCAGGGGCTAGAAAACTAGTGCTGAAAGATATAATCAATTCATTCAAGAATCGGGCATACATTTGAACAAATAACTGTATACAAGAAGGGAAATTTTAAGACAAGGAATGGTGAAAGTGTTTTTACTGGATTCAAGGGGGATCAGTGAACGATTCAGAGAGAAAGAGAGGCTTGCATTGTGTCTTGAAGGACTTTGTGATGCAAATAGGGTGGAAAGGAAGGCATCTCAGGTAGAGGAAATGATGTACAGCATATGTCGAAGTCCACAGGAAGAAGACAGATGCTTTGAGAGGTCCTTTAGCACCAGTATGACTGGCAGGAGGTGGATAGGAATCGGGTGGTGGTAGAAGGGTAAGGTGACTATAACTCCCACTGCTAAGATCCCCAAGACTGTAGGAAACTGAAAAAGCCCTTCATATTCCTTACCCTTCATTCAGTCTCCTAATTGCTAGCACTTCTTCCCAGAGGCATATAGCCCCCACTCCTGGATGGCTCTCCTTTTTCTCTGAATCCCAGCTTGCCTAGTACAATCTCTGTCTCATACTCAAAGAAAACAATCTTACTGTGTAAGGACCTGTGACCTGACTGCTTGGAGGAATAAAGGTTACCAGGTGAAAGGACACTTTACATCACAAGAGCTGTGTAAATGAGTATGGAGGATTATGATTTCCTGTTCAAAATTGTTTTAATTGACAGCGCTGGTGTGGGGAAGACATGCCTAGTCCGATGATTCACTCAGGGTCTTTTCCCCCCAGGACAAGGAGCCATAATTGGAGTGGATTTTATGATTAAGACAGTGGAGATTAATGGTGAAAAAGTCAAGCTCCAGATCTGGGACACTGCAGGTCAAGAGAGATTTCGGTCCATTACCCAGAGCTATTACCGGTGCGCCAATGCCCTGATTCTTACCTATGACATTACCTGTGAGGAATCCTTCCGTTGCCTTCCCGAGTGGCTGCGGGAGATAGAACAATATGCTAGCAACAAGGTCATCAGTGTGTTAGTAGGCAACAAGATTGACCTGGCTGAAAGGAGAGAGGTCTCCCAGCAGAGAGCTGAGGAATTCTCAAAAGCTCAGGACATGTATTATCTAGAGACCTCAGGCAAAGAATCTGATAATGTGGAGAAACTCTTCCTTGACTTAGCATGCCAATTCATCAGTGAGGCCAGACAGAACACACTGGTGAACAATGTATCCTCACCTTTACCTGGAGAGGGGAAAAGCATCAGCTATTTGACTTGTAATTTCAACTAAAGGCTGAAGCGAGGAAAAGCAAAAGGAATCAGCAGCTGCCCTGATAGGTCACAAGTTGCTGGAGAGATCTGGTGATGACTTTGGCTCCGGCTCTCCAACCTTCTGACTCCGGTGGGCTCCTGAGCTTACAAAGCGTGCCAGGCCAAGGGCCTTGTCCACAGGCCAACATTAGCAGAACACATAATGGTTTTACCCTTTTGCAGTCTGGAGTTTGAGCAAGGAGAAAATTGCACTAGGCACTCCATGATCTGCAGAGCATGTTGCTTTTGTTTTTTTAGTAAGCAAGTAAAATCGTATTCCTGACACAGCCCAGCGGGAAATGTACTGTAGGGATCCCTCCTGCACCCACTAGCATGTGGGGCTGTTCTTCAAGGGCTTCAGTGGTATTTTTCTAGTGGCCTTGGTGTTCTTGTCTACCAGATAAACCAAAACTGGGAAGGCAAGTACTGTCTCTATGGTGTGTATTGATGACCCCATGTAGATTTTGAAAAGTGTTACTTCTTTTGTCCACAGGCACTTTCAAAAACTTTGGGATGTAAAAATGAAATGAAACCTTTACCCATGACCAACAGTAACAATCATTGTTTTAATAATATGTATAAGCTCCATGACTCCTTTTGGTGCTAATGATTCTGCTATTTCACAGACCAAACATTTTAGTATAATAAAGGTCCTTAAATGTATTACCTAGAAATAAAAAAAAAATTTCTTTTCATAAATCTAATTTAAGGTGGGTGTGGTGGTACATACCTGTCATCCCAGCACTTGGGAGGCTGAGGCAGGAAGGTTGTCCTAAGTTTGAGGCCAGCCTAGACTACTTATTGAGTTCAAAACCACCCTAAGGTATATATTGAGACCCTGTTTCAAAACTCCCCCACCAAAAAAAAAAATCTAACTGGATTCTAATAAATACCATATAAGGTTTGTGTTGTCATCCTCATATTAGTCATATTACAAAAGGGATGAAAACTCAAAAAGTTAAAAATAATTCTGTTCTTTAACTATGACTTTCTGAGGTAAAGGAGTTTTTTTGTTTTGTTTTAGTTTTTCTGATGCTGGGGATGGAACCCAGGGCCCTGCACAGGCTAGGTAAGTGTTCTGCCACAGACCTACATCCACAGCCCTGGTAAAGGAGATGTTAAAAATGCAAAGTGCTGTTGAGTGGGAAGAGGCACCTGGGAGGAAGAGTGCGAGAGCTGAAAGTGAGAGGAGAGTAGAAGAGACAGGAAATAGCAAATTAAGAGGAAAAAGATGCAGGTCCTAGGAAGGACTGATGTTTAGTCCTACGGCTTAGTCTGGGTCATGTTGTAGATGTTTAAACAAATATCCATAGCAATGATCTGTTTTTGTTTTGTTTTGCAGTACTTTTTGTGTACTGAAGCTTGAACCCAAGGGTTTCCTACCCCTGAGCTATATCTCCAGCCCGTTCTTTTTTTTTTTTGGTACCGGGGATCAAATGTGGGACTTTGTGCTTGCAAGGCAGGCACTGGAACCACTAAGCTAAATCCCTGGCCCTCCACCCCATTCTTTTTATTCTTTTTATTCCTTTTTTTGTACCAGGGATTGAAGCCTGCAAGGCAGGTGGTAGAATCACTGAGCTAAATCCCTGGCCCTTTATCCCTTTTTGGGGGGCACTAGGGATTGAACCCAGTGCCTTCACCCTGAGCTAAATCTCCAACCTTTTTAATATTTTAAAATATTTTTATGGCCAAGTTTCTCTCTAATATTTTTAAATATTGAGATGGGGTTTCACTAAGTCCCTGGGCTCAAACTTTCAATCCTCCTGCCTCAGCCTCCAAGAATACTGGAAGTACAGGTATGCACCACCACACCTGGCTCTCAACCCTTTTTATTTTGAGACAAGAGTCTTGTTAAATTGTCCAAGCGGGCCTTGAACTCGCAATCTTTGTACCTCAGCCTTGTAACTGCAGTTACAGGTGTGCACCACCGTGCCCAGCTGCAACCATCTGTCTTCTATCTTTCTGTAACACAGCTCGCAGTGTCTAAATATAGCTAAGGGCAGGCTGGGGAACGTAGGTGGGACCATCTAATCAAGGAGAAATTGTTCGACAAGGCAGATTTTCTGGGCATGTCCACGTCTGTTCCCAGCCTCACCCCAGTAAAACCCTAGGAAGGGGCTTTTGTTTTGTTTTTCTTTGCAGTGCTGGGGGCTGCACTCAGGGCTTCCTGAATGCTGGGGAAACACTCTACCACTGAGCTGGATGCTAGCCAAGGAAGGCCTTCAGGCCCTGATCTTGACTCACAGCAGCCAAGTTAAAAGCTAAACACAGCACAAATATTATTTTTACTAATTATGTAAATTCCTATGCAATTGGGGGATCCCCTTGGTGCAAGAGAGGAAGGGTAGACGCTTTTGCTTCCCATTTTCACCCAGGTGCCACTTCGGGGCCACTGAGGGGAGAGAGAGAGAGGTTGGGGGATTCCCTTGTGACGAAGGTGTGGTAGCCCCAGAGGAAAAGGCAGAGGAGAGAAGCCAGGCACGGGGGTGAAGGAGTCAGTGCAGGTGCTGCTGGAAGACTAGTTGGATCCAGCCTCAGGTACAGCAGCCCCTCCTGAAGTCAGCACCAGATTCTAAACCAGGGCACTCTGGGGGCATCTGGAAACATGTGGGACTTTTCTGATTGTCTCAACTAAGCAACTTATGGGTGGAGGACAGAGATGCTATGAAAACACCCTAAGATGCACAGGACAGCCTTCACAACAGAGTTATCTGGCTTACAGCAATACTAGTCCAAGGTTGGGAAGGCCTGAGTTCAATGGTGCTGATGTCATAGGAGGCGTCTCCTCTGTCCCCTGCAGGAGCCCAGGAGAAGTCCTGCCATACCAACAGGTTGCCTCACATGGCCACTTATTTCTCTGGGCTCCGAGGAAGTCCTCTCGCTTACAAATCAGGTAGGTAGTTTACTTCCAACAAAAATAATGGCAGCTGCGCCCATGTTCATAGCAGCACAGTTTGTAATAGCTAAAACTTGGAAACAGCCCAAATGCTCATCAACTGGAGACTGGATAAAGAAAATGTGGTTTTTTAATAAAATGGAGTACTACTCAGCCATAAAAAATAAGAAATTAGAGACATTTATAGCTAAATGGATGCACATTGAGGCAATACTCTTAAGTGAAATAAATAGGACACAGATGTGTAAATACCGAATAGTTTCTCTGGTGTGAGAAACTGAAAGTGTAAATAAGGACTAAATGTATAATAGGTCATGTGAAATAGGAAGAAAAGGGGCAAAGGAGAAGGAAGTGAGAGGGCTAGGGGAAAGGATAGAAGGGAATGGGATTAATATGAGAAAATGGAAAAATAGGAACAAAATTTTTGTAAATAGGGAGGGCTGGAGGGGTTGAAGGGAGGGCTGGGCAAGGGTGAAAAACAACCAAGAGAGACTATGTAAAGGTGCAAATTTCCAATGATGAATGTCATTATATTGTATACCTAAAACGTACCAATTATTAGAATGAATAATTGATAATGCAAAATAGGAAGAAAAGGTCCAAAGGGGTAGGGGTAGCGGGAGGGGCAGGGGAAAGGAAAGAAGGGAAAGGAAAAATGATGAGAAATGGAAAAAATGGAATTAAAGTCTTTGTAAATAGGGAAGGGTGGAGGGCGTGAAGGGAGGGCTAGGAATGGGGAAAAAATAAGAACCAAGATGCATTATATAAAGGTACAATTCCCAATGAGAAATGTAATTGTGTTGTATACCTACAATGTACCAATAAAAGAATTTAATACAAAAAAAAAATAATGGCAGCTGGACTCTATAATTGCTTTGAGGGGCCACGGATTTAGCTTTCGCCGCCTGCTGTGCAAGCCCAAGGACCCGAGTTCAATCCCTGGTACCAAAAAAACCAAAAAAGCCCCTGTGTTTTTATAATTGCTTTGAAATCAGCTTCAAGAGAAGAGGGTCTTGGGTATAGGAAGAACTTGGGAGAGGCTATATGGGGATTGACTAAAGGTCAACTTGGAGCCCAGCTGAGCTGAATCAGCGTGGTCTGGGCATGGAAGACCCACCTGAGGATTGTTGCCAATGGCATAAAGAGAGACCTGGAGGGGAAGATTGTAGACTGTTGATTTTCTAGGAGAAGCTCGCTGCAGTTGGTTTTCCTGATGCGAACTTGGCTGTTCTTGTCAGAGGAGGAGCTCGGGGTCTCGCTGTCACTGGGAATGGCCGCTGTCCTCGTCAGGGGAGCTCTGATCTTCACCGTGAGCATCACTTCCTGGCTTCAGTGCAGATCCCTCAGCCTGGTGGCACAAATCCTTCACAACACCGGCACAGGTTTTCCGGCTTCCACCACTGGCCTTTGGGCCCTCCCGGTGCAGCTCCTCGATATGGAGAAGCATGAGTTATTGCTGTGGGCTCTAAGGCTCTGGCTGGACTCCTGGAGGACATTGCCTTGGGCTCTAGGCCTTCCGCTGGACTTGTGCGGGACACTGCCGTGGGATCCAGGCCCTCAGTTGGATTCTTTGGGTCTCTAGAGTGAGCTAGATCTCTTGCACCCCTCTGCATTTGACTTTTTGGGTGACTATTATAAAATAATCCTCTATATTATGTGTCCTGTATTAAATCTATTTCCCTTCCAAACCCTGACTACAACACTGTGCAACCATGTAAAAAGGTATCATCCTTAACCTTGGCTTCACTATTTATTTTTGTGGTATTGGGGATTGAACTCAGGACCTTGTGCTTTTGAGGCAGGCACAGCACGGCATGGCACCAATGTGCTAAATCCTTGGCCCCAGGTTTCACTGTTTATAAAATGAGTACACAGGACTATGTCATCCCTAATGCCTCGGTAGTACCCCAACTCAGTACTTTTTCACTTGTTTCGGTGGTACTAGGGATTAAACCCAGGGCTTCACACATGCTAGGCAAGCACACTAGTGCTCAATCACATCCCTAGACTTTAAAATTCTTACTTTGATGGGGCTGGGGATTTAGCTCAGTGGTTTTGCCACCTGCTGCGCAAGCGCAAGGACCCGAGTTCAATCCCTGGTACCAAAAAAAAATTTGTTTTACTTTGAGACAGGGTCTCACTAAATTGCCCGGGCTGAACTCAGCCTCCAGAGTACTGTAGCTGAGATTGCAGGCTTCTGCCACTGTGCTGGGCTTTCACTCATGCTATCGTTTTTCTTTTTCTTCTTTCTCTCTCTCTTTTTTTTTTGCTGTGTGTGGAACTGGGGAGTGAACAAGGGTCTTCACACTGAGCTACATACCTATCCCTTTAAAAAATTTTTGCAATTTTGAGACAAAAAATTTTATTATTATTTTTTGGTACCTGGGATTGAACTTGGGACCTTGTGCTCGTGAGGCAGGTGGTGGCACCACAGAGCTAAATGTCTGGCCCGTGAAAAAAAATTTTTTGAGACAGCATCCCACTAAATTGCTAAATTTCTCAGACTGGCCTGGAATGTGCAGTTATTCTGAATTGGCATCCCAGAGCACTGGGATTACAGGTGTAAACCATGATGCCAGGCTAAGAGGAGACAACTTTGTTTATTTTTTATTTTTTGAGACAGGGTGTCACCATGGAGTTCAAACCAGCTTTGAACTCACCGTGTAGTCCAGGCTGGCCCCAAACTCACAGTGATCCTCCTGTCTCAGCCTCCCGAGTTCTGGGACCACAGGCATGCACTGCCATGACCGGCTCCTCACCTCTATTTTCGTCTTCTATCCTTGTACTTCTCTGACTGTATTGCTCTGCTTCCTTCCTATATTCTCTTTAGAGAATCCTTAACGCATTTATTCAAGACACTGCTTTATTGGCTGACCTAGAGGTTTATTTTTCCTCTTAGATTAGAAGATTAGAAAGTAGGGGGCCGGGGATTTAGCTCAGTGGTTCCGCCGCCTGCCTCGAAAGTGGGAGGACCTGAGTTTGATCCCCGGTACCAAAAAAAAAAAAAGTACCTATGGAGTCAATGTAGGAAGTATCATTGTGTAAATGTGTACATTACCTCCGTGACTTTATAGATACTTTTTTTTGTGTGTGGTACTGGGGATCGAACTCAGGAACCTGTGCTTTCGAGGTGGGT